TGCGGGTTATTTGTGTATCGTTCCAGTCACGGTATTGTGCCTTTTTTTGTTATTTACTGAAGAGGTGCCTTGTAACTGTTACTCTGAAGGAACACACTGAAGAGGTGCCTTGTAACTGTTACTCTGAAGGAACACACTGAAGAGGTGCGTTGTAACTGTTACTCTGAAGGAACACGCTGAAGAGGTGCCTTGTAACTGTTACTCTGAAGGAACACACTGAAGTGGTGCCTTGTAACTGTTACTCTGAAGGAACACACTGAAGAGGTGCCTTGTAACTGTTACTCTGAAGGAACACGCTGAAGAGGTGCCTTGTAACTGTTACTCTGAAGGAACACACTGAAGTGGTGCCTTGTAACTGTTACTCTGAAGGAACACACTGAAGAGGTGCCTTGTAACTGTTACTCTGAAGGAACACACTGAAGAGGTGCCTTGTAACTGTTACTCTGAAGGATCACGCTGAAGAAGTGCCTTGTAACTGTTACTCTGAAGGAACACACTGAAGTGGTGCCTTGTAACTGTTACTCTGAATGAACACACTGAAGAGGTGCCTTGTAACTGTTACTCTGAAGGAACACACTGAAGAGGTGCCTTGTAACTGTTACTCTGAAGGAACACACTGAAGAGGTGCCTTGTAACTGTTACTCTGAAGGAACACACTGAAGAGGTGCCTTGTAACTGTTACTCTGAAGGAACACACTGAAGAGGTGCTTTGTAATTGTTACTCTGAAGGAACACGCTGAAGAGGTGCCTTGTAACTGTTACTCTGAAGGATCACAATGAAGAGGTGCCTTTTAACTGTTACTCTGAAGGAACACGCTGACGAGGTGCCTTGTAACTGTTACTCTGAAGGAACTCACTGAAGAGGTGCCTTGTAACTGTTACTCTGAAGGAACACGCAGAAGAGGTGCCTTGTAACTCTTACTCTGAAGGAACACACTGAAGAGGTGGCTTGTAACTGTTACTCTGAAGGAACACGTTGAAGAGGTGCCTTGTAACTGTTACTCTGAAGGATCACACTGAAGAGGTGCCTTGTAACTGTTACTCTGAAGGAACACACTGGAGAGGTGGCTTGTAACTGTTACTCTGAAGGATCTCACTGAAGAGGTGCCTTGTAACTGTTACTCTGTTGGAACACACTGAAAAGGTGCCCTGTAACTCAATGATGATATGTTCTGCTTTAATGAGAAGGACCTGATATTGACTCCTAGACAAAACATGATGTATGGGCAAGTATTAACGTTCCTTCTTTGTTCGCTGAAATGACAGTGAATGGGTACATCAGCGTTAGACAAGACTAGACAAAACAGAAGGAAAACTTCGAAGGTGAATAGGATTTTAGCCCAATCACCTATAACGCTCAAAAATTTCTGAAGTTTCCTATTCCCGTGCACATTTCCTTGAAGAAAGTCGAACAGTACAGATAGGAACCAGCGGATCTACTGTCCGTCATAAAACATAAACAGAACCCCCAACGAAAAAAAAAATAATCAAGGAAGCTTAAGGAGCGTCGGGGTGTGGATGTTCGTGAAATATGAAAAAACCAGTCAGACGAGTATTTACTGTGTTAGCGGTAATATTGTATCCAAGTTTTCCTTAAGTCTTCTGTGCAGCTGAATCATTCTTATGTTCTGTTTTTCCTTGTTCGATCGTGTATATATATATATATATATATACATATATATATATATATATATATATATATATATATATATATATATATATATATATATATATATATATATATATATATATATATATAAGAGAGAGAGAGGAGAGAGAGAGAGAGAGAGAGAGAGAGAGAGAAACGTTGCATCAATAAAATGTCACATTACTTGCATCTGTGTCCTTTTACCTAACATTTTGTCGATAACTATAACATTATTACTAAGTTTTCTCTACTACCTAGCAGTCGCATCAAGCTCATTACCAGCCAGCGAAGTGTAGTAAACAACGACCAGGGAATTCATAAAGAGAAATGTGTCATTAAGTGTGTATGTAATTCCACATACACGTGAGTTGTGTATATCTCAGTGTATGTACACCTGAGGTGTGTTTCTCAGTGTATATACACTAAAGGGATGAATCTCTCAGTGTATACACGCGAGGTGTGAATCTCTCAATGCATATACATAAGTAAGTTTATTCACGTGTTCACAAATGCAGTTACATAGATTATCATAAATTGCATCATATGTGAAGAGAACCTGGGATAACCCTGAGAGGTGCGGTGAGCACCTCTCAGTGTATATACATGCAAAGTGTGTATCTCCAAGTATACAACGTAAGGTGTGTATATTAGTCAATATTCACGTGAGGTGTGTATTTCATTGTATACGAATATATACAAAATGCGTATATCTCTCAGGTTACTCTACAAATACACGTAAGATATGTATATACAGCGATAGGTATGTATCTCTTGGTGTATTTACGTCCACTGATTTATATTCATTATATATACTCAGTGTATATATACAGAGAGGAATATATCTTAGTGTTTGTATACCAATAAGTGTATAAACATCAGCATATATGCGCTTAGAGGCGTATATCTCACAAGGCACATACGTCGAGAAATTATCTCGAAAAGTGCAGTTAACGCTATGTATGGACACTGTTTTCCAGTGAATATGTACGGAAGAGCATATATCTGCCAATGTGTCTACCCAGAGATATGAAAGAAATGCCTGTAGCTCTTTGCATGGACACTAAAGGCTTGCAATAGTTCATATTTTACGGTTTGAAAGTATTGTTGTTGTCATTGTACAAGAAGGCTACGTTGTAAACAATCCCCTTTCCTAATAAATAAATTATTCTCATTTTTGGAAATGTGATAAACTGAGTAGGAAGAAAATTAACGTATAGTTACTTGTCAAGTAAGAAACTGTTTAGCTCAGGGTTTTCCAGAGCCAGGCCCTGAAGGCTTGAATGTCTCCACAGTGTTACTCTGGTGTTGTAGACACTTGCCTTGTTGCTCTGGTGTTGCGAACGAGTCTCGCTACTCTGCTGTTGCCGATGTATGTCTGGTTACTGTGTTGCTAGGACACAAATCTCGCAACTCTTCTATTATGAACACAAACCATCACCTAGTAATAGTAATAATAATGAAAATAATAATACTAACACTACTACTACTAATAAAGATAATAATAATAATAATAATAATAATAATAATAATAATAATAATAATAATAATAATAATAATAATAATAATAATAATTATAATAATAATAATAATAATGGTAATTATTATTATTATACTAATACTAAAAGCGAAGGCGTTTAACATATTCGCTACTAACTTCTGAGTATTAAGAGAAAAAATTAGATATTATTATTATCATTATTATTATTATTATTATTGGTTTTTATAGTAGTGGTAGTAGTAGTAGTAGTAGTAGTAGTAGTAGTAGTAGTAGTAGTAGTAGTAGTAGTAGTAGTAGTAGTATATTCAAAGAGAATCTTTAATAACATTTAGGTAATATGGAGCCAAAGAAATGGGATGTAATCAACATGAAAATAAAAACCTCCACTTGAAGGAAAAAGGATCGAAACGTCTTCAAAAATATTTTCTCTAAATCGTAAGTTTGTTGTGCATTGCTCTTAATACTTTTGTTATTCAGGCCCGGTGGCCTGGTGGCTAAAGCTCTCGCTTCACACACGGAGGACCCGGGTTCGATTCCCGGCGGGTGGAAACATTTCGACACGTTTCCTTACACCTGTTGTCCTGTTCACCTAGCAGCAAGTAGGTACCTGGGTGTTAGTCGACTGGTGTGGGTCGCATCCTGGGGGACAAGATTAAGGACCCCAATGGAAATAAGTTAGACAGTCCTCGATGACGCACTGACTTTCTTGGGTTATCCTGGGTGGCTAACCCTCCGGGGTTAAAAATCCGAACGAAATCTTATCTTATCTTATCTTAAAGAGTCATATGATAAAAGCATCTATTAAAAATTAATAAGTAAACTTCTGCAAGTTATATATATAATAAGACTAAAAATTGCAGAGGCCCTGAGACTTTCGTTTATTTATTCCTTATTGCGTATAGTAATCCACGCTTTATTTAGCAATGATGTATCTAGTGTGCCAGATATTTATTTTATTTCGTTATTATAAGTTAGCTGCACCTAAATATATAAATAATTTATATCTGGTTAGGTTAACATGATCTAACCTAACTCAATCTTAGGTAAACAATACAATTTTTTTCTGTTTACAGCCTTTAAAAATAATCGCACTGAAACGCATGCATAAACGATATATATATTTGGAGAAAAGGTGATTTATTTGAGCCACCTGACAGAAAAAGCTAATTTACTAATAATTAGTTTATGTGTTCAGCTGAAAGACTGCACCTCATTCATTAAGGTAACATTTCACCTCTACACTAATATCAAGAATACTTTAATTCTTAAATCTGGAATTAAAGTAAGTATTAAGAATATATTTACATACATTAAATATATTTATACACATCTCTCTCAGGGTTTATACTGCGTGAAGGTAAACCTATATATTGCAAATTGTTATATTTGTATTTATTTTCTGAGAATCAAATTATATTTGAAGATATATCCAATTTCCCTTGATAAGGGTCAAGAGAAATCAAAACCTGGTAAATTTCCTTCCAAATTAGTGGTTTATCTGTAAACGTCAGAAAGTCTCGTTCATTATGAGGAAACTTTAATGAAATTTCAGCTAATAGTAACATTCGTGTTATCAGTAGAAAAGTAATTATTTAATTTTCTGCTTACATTCTGAAAATATTTAAGTAGATTTTCACATTGGGTTGTAGTATATTTATGTAGTATATTTATAGCTAACCGTAGCAGAGCTGAATCATTTGAGAGCTAGCAGTACCTTGAGAGCTGGAACCTCAAGAACTGTTGAGGTTTTTTTTTTTTTTTCTTATTGAATACATATGAGTTTCTAAGCAAGACTGACCGGGTGTTTATAGAGAAGGTTACGCCTGGTGGGAGGCGCCTCCTGTCCTATATATATACCCCTGAGCATCGAGCCTCACTATCAGTAGCTCCTGTCTTCAAACTCACACACTCCATAACCATGGTAAGTATTCACATCCACGATTCTCTTGAATCGATACTCGATTATCAAAGCCGTGTGTTAAATAAATGAATCGTATATTACAAAACTATTCATTCTTCATTCTTAAATCCATCATGCTAACATTGTATCTCTGTGACGGCAGCGTTTCCTGTCCATCCTGACGGTGTTGGCTGTGATGGTGGCCGTCGCCTATGGTGGTTATATCCGTAGATATGGAGGATTTGGTGAGTAATTTTCTTAAGTGTATGCAATAAAAAAAAATATTTTATATTTTTTGAAGAGAGGTTATTATTTTATATCAGCTCTGTGCAATTTCGGAAATGTAATGACAATACATTTATGTTTGCACTTATCGCTAAAATAAAGAAATGTGATGGGCTATTTTTATTGCACAATATATGGTGTCAAATGGTGGAAAATACTTACTCAGTAAAAGACTTATTATTACAGTTACGAGTCTCACCTACAAATTGTTTCATGAAGTTCTTGATGATGCTTGTTGTTGGTGAAAACTCATAACAATAGACAAGGCTTTCCGAAATGCTTCAATTTTATCTAATTTTCAAATCAGCCATTCTGCTGTTACTTGCTGAATAATATTTGTTGTATAATGTTTATGATAATTTTTTTTATAAAAAAAATTAGTTTACTATCCTCAAAAAATAATGAACGACATAATGTGAGTCAATTTTTTAAGGAACACAAATGGTTTTCATGCAACGAAGTATTGACAGTAGTTTAATGTTCATCAAAACTAGAGAAGCTAAACTAATGTTATTTTAAATCAAAAGATTCATATTTTCTCATATGTATTAACAGGCGGAGGATTAGGTGGATTTGGTGGCGGCCTTGGTGGATTTGGTGGCGGCCTTGGTGGATTTGGTGGCGGCCTAGGTGGATTTGGTGGCGGCTTTGGTGGAATTGGTCGCGGCTTTGGTGGACATGGTAGATACGGTGGTCTGTATGGTAAGTAATATGAATTTTAATATCTTTTCAAAATTTTCATTATTCCGCCATATATAAGGATTGCCACTATAATGGAAGAGTATCTATAGGAAGATAAATTCTATAATTGTAATACCAATAATTGCATGTTTTACTAACTTTAAATATTAATGCTGATGTTTACCTTCAGGTTAGTGATACCAGCAGCACGTCTTCTGACGGACTCCTGGCCACGCTTACGTCACCTTGTTAATACTGGAAATAAAGAATTAAGAAAGTAACTTAGTTTCTCTTCATTTCTAATAGTTTCGCAGTATATATACACCAAGACGTGTATTTCTCTCAGTTAACAAAATCTGAGAATATGTAGGATACATATTTTAATGATTAAAGTTCTTGTCAGATAATGAAAAGGTTACGTACAACCTGTGTGCGGTCGACAGACCTTAAACTACCATTAACCAACCTAACGTTTTTTAATCAGTTAAATGAATAGATAGTTTGTTAGGTTTATATGTTATCGAAGCCTGAGCGTCACTTGTGAAGGATGATTTAATATAAACAATTGTTAATGTACTGTTTCTTTTTATATTCAGTGAGAGGTACAATACCAGAGAGAGAGGTGAAGATGAACCAGAGAGACTGGACCTCGTATTCACCTTGAGTAGCTCGGACATTGAGGACATGACATGTGAAAAGCCCTTCGGGGCTAGTGACCACGTGGTTCTGAGCTTTGAATACATTGTAGAGTTACAATTGGAGAGGGTAACAGGAGTACGATGGGAAAAGCCAAACTACAAAAAGGGGAACTACACACGCATGAGGAACTTTCTGCAAGAGGTTCAGAGGGAAAGAGAATTGGTAGGAAAATCGGCAAAAGAAATGATGGACCACGTGACAACTAAATGCAAGGAGGCAGAGGAGAGGCTTGTTCCCATGAGCAACAGAAATAATGGGAAGACCAGAACTTGATCTTGGTTTACCAAAAGGTGTAGGAAGGCAAAAGCTAAGTATGCTAGAGAATGGAAAAAGTAGAGAAGGCAAAGGAACCATGAAAATAAAGAGATTAGTCGAATAACCAGAAACGAGTATGCACAGGTAAGGAAGGACGTCCAACGACAGTATGAAAACGACATAGCATCGATAGTCAAGTCTGACCGGAAGCTGTTGTATAGCTACATCAGGAGGAAAACAACAATTATGGATCAGGTAATTAAGCTAAGGAAGGAAGGTGTGGAGCTCACAAGAAACGTCAAAGAAGTATGTAAGGAGCTCAACATAAGATTTAAGGAAGTAATTACAGAGGAGATAGAAAGAAATCCTGGATGTCAGAATAGGGATGTACACCAACAAAGGATATACCAACAAGTGCTGGCTGAAATACTCACAACCGAGGAGGAGGTGAAGAAGCTGATAAGTGAACTTGATACCACAAAGACGGTGGAACGGGTCAATATCCAGTGGCTAACGCGACGGTCTGGAGTTTAGAGACTCTCTGACCGCGGGATCAAACCCCACCCGTGGTATGGTTTGTTTGCAATCGTGTCATTACGATTTCGTGAGTCGAGTCAATATCTTTCTGTCTCTGCTCCCTCTCTAAGGAGAGGGAACAGAAACTGGGCAACTACCTGAGGTATGGAAGATGACAAATGTAGTCCTCATTTTTAAGAAAGGAGACAGACACGAGTCACTAAACTGCAGACCATTGTCATTGACATGTATAGTATGCTAAGTCATGGAAAGATTATCAGAAGGAAAGTTGTGGAGCATCTAGAACGGAACAAGCTTATAAACGATAATCAACACGGATTTAGGGAAGGAAAACCCTATATCACAAAGCTAATAGAGTTTTATGACAAGGTAACGAGAGACACGAAACAGAGGGGTTGGTAGGACTCGAAGAAGACCTTCGACAGAGTTCCTCACAAGAGATTAGTGCAAAAGCTAAAGGATCAGGTACACATAACAGTAAGGGCAATGAAATGGATCAGGAAATACTTGACAGGGAGGCAACAACGAGTCGCGATACGTGACGAGGTGTCAGAGTGGGCGCCTGTGGCGATCAGGATTCCACATAGGTCAGTCCTATGACCAGTGCTATTTTTTGTTTGTTTGAATGACTTGACGGAAGGGATAGACTAAGATGTGTCCATGTATGCAGATGATGCGAAGTTAATAAGGGGAATTAAATCGGATGAGGATCAGGCAGGAGTACAAAGAGACCTGGACAGGCTGCAAGCCTGGTCCAGCAACTGGCTTCTTAAATCTAACCCTGCCAAATGCAAAATCATGAAGATCGGGAAAGAGCTAAAAAGACCACAGCCAGAGTACAGGCTAGGTGGCCAAAAACTGCAAACCTCACTGAAAGAAAAAGATCATGGGGTGAGTATAATATCGGGCACACCTCCTGAGGAGCACATCAACCAGATAACTGCTGCAGCATATAGACAAACCTGAGAATAGCGTTCCGATACCTCAGTAACGAATCGTTTAAGGCTTTGTACACCGTGTATGTCAGGCCCATACTAGATTATGCAGCATCAGTTTCGAACCCACACCTGATGTAGCACGTCAATAAATTAGAGAAAGTGCAAAGGTTTGCAACAAGACTAGTTCCAGAGCTAAGGAGAATGCTCTACGAAGAAAGGTTAAGGGAAATCTGCCTGACGACACAGGACATACAAAAATACAACATACAAAATACTTCGAGGAATTGACAAGGTGGACAGAGACAGGATGTTCCAGAGATGGGACACAGAAACAAGGGGGCAGAATTGGAAGTTGAAGACCCATATATAGTTTTAAGACGAAGTTTGATAAAGATCATGGAGCAGGGAGAGAGAGGACCTAGTAGCGACCAGTGAAGAGGCGGGGCCAAGAATGAGCTTATCAACGACAGCCAGCACGGTTTCAGGGACGGGAAATCCTGCGTCACAAACCTACTGGAGTTCTGTGACTGGGTGACAGCAGTAAGACAAGAAAGAGAGAGGGGTGGGTAGATTGCATTTCCTGGACTGTAAGAAGGCGTTTGACACAGTTCCACACAAGAGATTGGTGCGGAAGCTGGAGGACCAGGCAGGGATAACAGGGAAGCCACTACAGTGGACCAGGGAATACCTGTCAGGAAGACAACAGCGAGTCATGGTACGTGGTGAGGTTTCAGAATGGGTGCCGGTAACGAGCGGGGTGCCACAGGGATCAGTCCTAGCACCGGTGCTGTTTCTGGTATTTGTGAACGACATGACGGAAGGAATAGACTCCGAAGTGTCCCAGTTTGCAAATGATGTGAAGTTGATGAGAAGAATTCAATCGGACGAAGACCACCCAGAACTACAGAGGGATCTGTGCAGACTGCAGGCTTGGTCCAGAAACTGGCTTTTGGAATTCAGCCCCACCAAGTACAAAAAGTCAAGAAGACTGGGGAAGGGCAAAGAAGACCACAGACGGAGTATAGTCTAGGGGGACCAGAGCCTACAAACCTCACTCAAGGAACAGGATCTTGGTGTGAGTATAACACCGGGAACATCTCCTGAGGTGCATATCAACCAAATAATTGCTGCAGCTTCCGGGCGCCTGGCAAACCTAAGAACAGCATTCCGGCGTCTAAAGGAGTTATTCAGGACCATGTGCAATGTGTACGTTAGGCCCATATTGGAATATGCAACGCCAGTTTGGAACTCTCACCTAGCCAAGCATGTAAGGAAACTAGAGAAAGTGCAAAGGTTTGCAACAAGACTAGTCCCGGAGCTAAGAGGTATGTCCTACGAGGAGAGGTTAAGGGAAATCGACCTGACGACGCTGGAAAACAGAAGAGTTAGGGATGATATGATAACGACATATAAAATACTGAGAGGTATAGATAAGGTGGACAGAGACAGGATGTTTCAGAGATGGGACACAGCAGCAAGGGGTCACAGTTGGAAGCTGAAGACTCAGATGAACCACAGTGATGTTAGGAAGTATTTCTTCAGTCACAGAATTGTCAGGAAGTGGAATAGCCTGGGTAGTGATGTAGTGGAAGCAGGATCCGTATATATAGCTTTAAGAAGAGATATGATAAAGCTCACAGAGCAGGAAGAATGACCGAGTAGCGGCCAGTTGAGGAGGCGGAGCCAGGAGCTGTGAATCGACCCCCGCAACCACGACTAGGTGAGTACAACTAGGTGAGTACACACATACACATACACACACACACACACATTCATTAATTTTATCGCATTCAATCACCTAATGACGCAGGGAGTGACAATTATTCAATTATTTATATTTCATTTGGTCTTCATCCGGCTCCCAGCCGGAGGCGAGCGATAGTAATATAGAAAAGTCTCCTTATTTTGTTGGATGCACCATAGACATGTGGCTCCTCCTCCATGATAGAAAGATGATAGAAAAACTGGCTGTTGTTAGTCTCCCTCAGTCTTAAGTCAAAAAAGTTCAGTTGGAAGTTTTTTCGTATTATTGCTCTGAAACTGCTAATTGAAGTTCAAGATTGTACTCAATTCGCTTTTTGAAAGTGTGAATCTCCGTGTATATACACTAGAGGGGTGAATTTCTAAATGCATACACTCGTGCAGTGTGTATCTCTCAATGTATATACTCATAAAGTGGTTATCTCTCAGAGTATATAAATGTAAATCGTGTATCTCTCATAGTATATACACGTAAGGTGCGTTAATCATTGTATATTCACGTTCGTTGTGTATTTCAGTGTATTTGCACGAGAGGTGTGTATCTCTCAGTAAATACATTGGAAAGGCGTAGATATCTCAGATTACTGTTTATATACACGTACGGCATGTATATGTTATGCCGCATAAGTAAAACATGCGATTTTGGCTTAAATAGCAACACACTTCCTGCCGAACAGGGCAAGCGAACATTTGTGTATGCAATAATTTCGCAAAAATCATTCGGAACCAAACGAAAAAAATATATTTCATAGTATTCGTTTACTACTAAATTATTGTAAACTTATATAAAATACATTTCGTTCAATTAGGCTAAATTAAATTGCGCTTGTTATAATAAGGTTAGGTAAGTTTCCTAAGCTTCTTTTGGTACAAAATCATGAATTTTTATATTAACATAAATGAAAAAAAATATCTTTAAATGTAAAAGAGAAAATTTTAGAAAGAACTTAATTTTAAATGAGTTCTTGCTAATTGACCAGTTTTACCTATCCGGTACGACATATATAAAGCGACAGATACGTATCTCTCAATGTATTTACTTCCACTGGTTTATATTTCAATGTATATACATAGATATACATATATCTCTC